AGACATCCACAGCTCAAAGATTCAGGAAATGAGGAGAAAACCTCAATAGCAAAACTCTTTGAGCAAGGTTGCAGTCTGTTCCTGTGCTAAACTTATTTTTAATTCGTGCATTATGTTTTTAAGTGTATCAATCTTTGCTCTTGTTTATTACTGACAATAGACAATATTATCAGTGGGATTGCAAAAGATCTTGTCATTGCTTGAAGCAGAAGACAATGATGTGCGAATTCATGCTGTTAAAGTTGTAGCAAATCTTGCTGCTGAAGGTGATAATATTTCTTTACCATTTTTGACTTCCTTACACTGCTGCTGTCATATCACAAGCCCATCTTCATGCTATAATTATTTGCTTAATCTTGGCAAGTCTGATTGGATTTTACCTGTGGCACAATGCTTCTTTTTTTTTTTTCTTCATAAAAACCTTTCAGATGGGAAGATCAGGGAATAATTGCCCAAGTGGCGCTGTACCATATGTGTAACAATAACATTGAAAGTATAGAACTAATTCCCTTTTCCGTTTAGCTTCCATTGTTTGTTTAGAACCAGTGGTAAGTGCACAGGCAATTAGATGATTCTTTATCAAATGATTGTAAAAAGAGGGCGGTAGGTTATAGAAAAGAATGATAAATAAATGCATAAAATAATATAGAGAAATTATTGATTGGATCAGCAATCTGATTTGGAGTTCAGTGAAAGTTTGTGAAAGCATGGGATGGGATAGGGATCTCACTTTACGTGGTCAATTTGAGGTCATATATTTTGTTATCTATATGCACTGAATGATTATTTTATACAATGTGTCTCCTTAATTTATTTTTTTGATTAAAATGTACCCCTTAGTGGGTTACGATATTGTGCTACATTGAACAAAGCTCACTTCTATATATTATATTCTGACTATTGTGCCATGTTGAATAAAGCTATACCTCTATATCTGATATTACCGCTTCATAGTATCAGTATTTTTAGTACTCACTGCATCAGCAAGCAATAATACGTGCTCTCCTCCTAATGCGCAGAAGCAAATCAGGAGAAAATTGTAGAGGCTGGTGGTCTTACATCCTTGTTGATGCTACTTAAAAGCTCTGAGGATGAAACCATACATAGAGTTGCAGCGGGGGCAATTGCAAATCTAGCAATGAATGGTAACAATTTATGTCCCAAATTCATAATGCTTAGTATGCATTACAATATTGACTGATAATGTCTCTACTCTCTAATTTGCGGTATAATTCTTCTTTGGTTTAAATCAGAAACCAACCAGGAGCTGATAATGACTCAAGGGGGAATTAGTTTGTTATCTATGACAGCAGCAAATGGTGAAGATCCACAAACCCTTCGAATGGTTGCTGGAGCCATTGCTAATCTCTGTGGAAATGGTAAACTTGCTGACCTCTTCAATGTTCAATTCCTTAATCATATCCTTAATCACAAACCCCATCAAGTTGCTGAAAGTAGGATCTTCATCATTCTCCATCAGGGTGGTTCTTTATATACTTTCTTCTAATTGTAATATTGGGGTTTAGGAAGATGTCTATTTCTTTTTCTTTCTGATTTTTCAATAACAAACGGGCCGGTTATTTAATCATATTTACCTGAAATGAAAACTTATGGAAACAGTTGTAGTAATTTACACTCTTGTGGTGCGGCTATTAGTAAGTTGTGCTTGTAGTTGAATTATCAAGTGTTTGTGAAGGTCTTGATTTAGTCAGATTTAACTAAAAAGGTAAACTACTCATGGAAAGGTTGATGTAGTAGTTGTTAAGGCTCTTCCATATTCTGTTTTAATTAGTCTCTTAACTTTTAAAGGTTACAATTCAATCATATACTTCATTCAAACTGGGTATTTTGCAGTAGTGGTAAAACCATCTCTTATGACAGACATAATTAGTTAGGAAATGGTTTTGACAATTGCACTAATTCCTTTCTGAAGTGCTTGTATTTGCATTAACCAACAAAAGATAATTTGAGTATTCTATCTTGCTGTCACTAACAACAATGAAATTGCTTGTTCAGATAAATTACAGAGTAAGCTAAGGGGTGAAGGTGGCATCAAAGCGTTGCTAGGAATGGTCAGATGTGGGCATCCTGATGTTCTTGCACAAGTTGCTCGTGGAATAGCAAACTTCGCAAAATGCGAGTCTAGAGCATCTACACAAGGTAAAGATGCTAGCTATGGGTTTATGGAAAAGATCTTCATGTGCTTGTCTTCAAAGAGTTTGTGCTTATCGCATTGAACATTATTATACAGTCCAGCATTACTTCATAAATTTGTTTGCTTTTCTGTTGACAAAAGTTTCGTTTTGTGAAGAATTTGTAAAGCATATATAATTTAATCATCCAATTTGGACTTAAATTGGTTAATTCATTGTAGGGACCAAGACTGGAAGGTCTCTGCTGATTGAGGATGGTGCACTTTCATGGATTGTACAGAATGCTAATAATGATGCCTCGCCAATCAGGCGCCACATTGAGCTTGCACTCTGCCACTTGGCGCAACATGGTAAACTCTCCTCCTCCTCCCCCAAGCACCATGAACTAGCTAATCTCCTCTAGAGTGTTTGCTGAACTGTTAATTTATTTTTCAGAAGTTAATGCAAAAGACATGATCAGTACTGGTGCTCTGTGGGAGCTGGTCCGCATTTCTCGAGACTGTTCACGTGAAGACATCAGAACTCTTGCATATCGAACACTAACTTCGAGCCCTACCTTCCAAGCTGAACTAAGGCGGCTACGGATAGATAATTGAAGAGTTCATGGCATAATGGAAACATTGTGAAGGTGTGGGAGAATGCAGCAACAAGAATCAGCCTGATTTAAACTCAAAATCTGAGGATTGATCTTTCCACACAAACAAAAAGGGAATCCTTGCTTGCAGCTGCACTTCACCAGCTTGTTTTGAGGAAGTTGCCATTCATTGGCCGGGCGCTCTTTGGTTTATAGTCCTAATATTTAGTTCATTAATTAGAAACTGCCCTAATTTGTTGATCAAATTATTATCAGTTCATGTTTCACCTGAATGGCATCCCATATGTAGCTTCTAACTAGTTTGTATATTGATTTGTATATGAAACAAATACGAAAAAGATAACTAATTTTTTGTTTTTTCGGAATCACTTGTAAAATAAACTAAAGAGTGCCATGTTGCAAGTGCTCAAAACTTTTGGACAACCTCTGGAAACAAAGCAATCTTGAAACGAGAACAGAATGCACTAACATACAGATATATATAGTCCCTCTCCAAAGCAAGAAAAAAAAAAACGAATGGACAAACAACAGGGAAAAGGACAGAAAACAAATCCTCTAGTATTTGTCTGTACGATTTCATACTGACGATTCCAAAACACACTTTTCCATGGAAATTAAGGCTCCTCAGTTTCAGTCAAAAACTGCCAAAGACAGTGTATGTGGCGCATGCCACATTTATGTGTCCCAAGTCTTGCGACATGTATAACAACCAATTTTGACACGTATAAATTATTATCCATATAGTTGCATGGCACGTGATGTTATCGTCATTTTTAGAGGTATTCGATGTGATACCATCACCTCTATCTATAGAGGTATTCAAGAGGTATATTGCACCCAAAAAAATGATCGGAATTATAAAAAATCATGGTAACCCTAAATATTATCGATGGCTTGACCGTGCATGCACACATTTGCATTTGGTATGCGCACAGCACAAATTTTCTAAGCATTGAGTTCACTAGTATTTAAGACTGCATGCAAAGAATCGTTAGAGGAAATGGATGGGATGGCAACAAGCTCAACGCCATACATTATTTTCCTTGCTTGTACAAATTCAATAAATTCCAACACAAAGTGGCTCTCATTTCCTAATTCATAGTCCTACAACATAAAATTCTAGATATTTTGATAAATAAATAAAAAATTATTCCATATCAAATTGTTTGAAATGGTAATTTTTTTTCTTATTATACAGTCTAACAATAACATGCTCGGCTGTTATTTTGACCAAGTAAGTAGGCAAAGGATTTTTTATTTTATTTTGATAAATATCTACGAGGAAAGGGGATTCGAACTTGAAATGTACCATTAGATTAAAAGTTTGTTAATTTTAAGTAGACAACATCTAACCAATTGCGGTCTTAATTGACACTTGGAAAACATATATCATGTCAAATTGCTTGACAACACATTATGTTGCAAGGGAACCACAGATCATAATAAAGCAATTAAAAGGTGAATGTAGGTTGGAGGGAACAAAGAATGGACAAGTCTAGTAAGCTTCTAAGGCTTGGGGAAAAGCTGGCAAGAATGTAAGAGAGGGAGTTCGAGAAGTACAGGTAGAGCTAGCTGCCTGCCCAATCCTTATTCTCTGAACCCAAGAAAGGGAGAGAGAGAGAGAGAGAGAGAGATTGTAGTAGCTAGTTGTGGGCGTTTAATGGAAGGTGTGTTGTTGTTGATGTGGTTTGCCTCGAAAAGGAGCTTCTTCAGAGCAGTGTGCACGTGTAAACCAGTACCCAAATATTTTCATGTCTCCGTATCTCAAAATATTTCTGAAACAATCTCTATCTCTAAAAGAAAGGAAAGAAGGAAACACATGGAAGCTCTAATAAGCCCATACCTCTTTGCTTCTTCTTCTCCAACATAATTAGTCATTCAAATATCAAACAGTTTCATACCCTCAATACTTACCCTTCAACCTCGACCAGCTTATATAGCGATAAATATATATAACTATACCAATTTGAAAAAGATTTTAAATTCGAAATCTCGATCGTTAAATTTAAGAAAAGAAAACATTATCACAAGTAATAATTACTCTATCAGTACGTATGGTAATTATGATATGATAATATGCTATAGATAATATATAATTATTACTGAATAGGTAACAATTAAAATGATGGGGATCTCACGGAATCACATAAAATGTAGGGTAATCTAGTTGTTGTGAGAGAGATCGATCAATAAGTAAACTCAATTCAATTCTTGATACAAAACAAAGTACTAAAAGATAGACAGAAGAAGGGTTTGGTTCGAACAGCAAATTCTTATTCATGGATAGAGAAGAAGATTAATGAGTGAGGAGGACAACAAGGCCGCCATTGTAGAGAAAGCAAACACTAGACTAAGAAATTGTGCTCATGGTTCCTTCTTCTTGGATGCTGTTTCTCTTCATATATTAAACAAAGCTTCGGCACTAGCTAGTACATTTCACAAAATGAAACTCACCAAGAATAATCCATGAAATATACAGTCTTTCAATCAAACAAGTAAAACATATGGTACGTGATCTAATCATCGAACAATGCTAATTAAACCAAGCTCGAAAAAAAAGAGAAAGAAAAGAAGGAAACATACTAAAAATCTGAAATGCTGATCGACAAACCAAATTCTTCTTCTATCCATATAGCTAGCTACTACCTAGCTACATAGCCGGTGATGGAAACATCTTGGTAAGATGTAGGTGATGATGGCAAAGTGAATGAACTCGTGATATGATCCGATACTGATACGGGCTGTTCCATGGTTAGTATGGTGGGCGGCCGGTAGCCCAGTAGGCCGCCTCAGCTGGCAATTGCATGGAATTCAGGAGATTGGGAGGTAAACCATGAAAAAGAGGCGCATTTGTATTTGCAGCTTCAGCCAGAAGTTGTTGCTGTTGTTGTTGCTGTTGATGCTGCTGTTGCTGATGACCAACTCCGCTCGGAGAGCCAAGGCTACCTCCGCCGCCGCCTTGCATTGGCAGCTGACCCTCATCTTCCTCCAGAGGAAGCCGCTCATACGCCGCGTTGCTAAACGAAGCCGCCATGATCACAACAGGCCCGGACGCAATTAGCGTCCCAACAACGCTTCCCCCTACAACTTGCCCTCCTCCGCCTGCTAGATATATGGTCAGCCCCGTCGCGGCAGGCGGGGCTGGCGGAGGCAGAAAAGACCCCGCAAGTGACAAGATCTCGAATCGGCCATGTAAAGTCACGATGGACCCAGGCGAGGCGGGCTGTCTGATTGTCACATTCGTGACGGTGCCCGTCCCGCTCATAATGCAGACACCTCTCTGGCGCCTGCGGGCAAAGGTGGCAACACTCTCCACTATGTCGCAGCCGTCGGCAATCTCCATGACGTGGGTGCGGAGCGCATTGGCGCTGTCGCGGGTGATGATGATGGGGGGCTTGGGCTTGTTCTTGGATCCAGCTGGTCTTCCGCGGGGTCTTCTGGTCATTTCTGATCCATCACCGCCGGAGATGGTGACATTGAGTTCTTTGCCTAAATCGCCGCCATTGCCGCCGCTGTCATTGTCCATATCTCGCTCTCTTTTCTGGCCCTTGTTGTTGAGGCCGCTGCTGCCGGTTTGCTCGTCTTCCGAATTCTGCTGCTGCTGGTGGAACTGAGGATGATGCTGCAGGTGGAAATCTCTTGTATGGAAAGGAGGAGGGAGAGAATGGGTGTCCATATCAAATTTTTATGCTCTTTTTTCACCTTCTTTACTTTCTTTTTCCTCGAATACAAAGAACCCAAGAAATTGAGAAAGAAGAAAGGAGAGCTAGTGCCAAGCTAAAAGGTGGTTGTGTACACAAATTCAAAGAGAGAGAAAGAGAGAGAGAGAGAGAGAGAGAGAAAGTGAGATGAGGAGCTAGCAAAAGGGAATAAAGATTAACAACTAAGGAAGACTTGTACAGTACTTTCTTGGGTGTCCGTGTCTCTCTCTTTGTTTCTGTGGGTTGCTTTAATTCTTCTTCATCTTGTTCAGTGAACCAGGCTTGAGCAGAAAGCAGCAGATTTGTGGTGACACCCACAAAATTGGAGCTGAAATTGGCATGCTTCTTCAGTCTTGTGGGTAAAGGAAAGGGTTAATTTTGGTATGGTTTCTTGGTGTTCTTGTTGACGGTTTGGGAGAGAAGCAGAGAGAAGAAAGAAGAAGAAGATGAAAAGAAAACAGGTTATGGGGGAATGGGTTTTGGATCGTCAGTTTGGTCTAAAGAGAGAAAGAGAGAGGGAAGGGGTCAAGTAGAGTTGGGTTAGGGTTAGATTGAGATGAGAGAGAGAGAGAGAGGGATGGATATGGGTTTGGTTTGGGTAAGAGTAAGAGACTACAACTGCGTGCTTATGGGCGGTGCAGTGGTCCCCACACCTTTCCTTCTCTCTCTCCTCTCTCTCAAAATGGCGTTTGAAAGAACTAAGAAACTGACTAATTAAACATTTAGTCTTAAGTAATTAGGATTAGTTTAATTAAATAGGGTAGAGAACCAGCTGCCATGTATGGGACCATTCTGTCTCTTTAATATTTTTTTTTGGACATTAAACCCCATCGAATCAATCAATGTTGTTAATGGCAATAATGTAATTTGAAGAGGCAAGCATATGTAGCTGGCACATTAAAATTGGGCTCTCGTGTGATTACATTGGCATGGCAAGAGAGAGAGAGAGAGCGTGCTTCAATTTTCCATGACCCACATGCACCATGGGTCTGCAAATTCTATCTTTATCTCTAACGTTTAAACCTTAATGTTGGGGTCCACTGTCCACTTGCTTTTAGAACATTACACGTGTCTGTTCCCCCGCTTCTTTCGGGTCTCTTTCGCAAACTTCATCTTCCTTTCCTTGGATATGCCATGAACTAGTTGGGTTGTTGTGATGGAGCAATGTTAGAGAACCACATTTTCTTGTACCACCACTCGATGTGTTTCTTGTAAAGATACAATTAATGTAAAAAGCAAATTTCATTTGTCTAATTTACCTCCACGTTAGAAGATTTTGCATTAATCGTCAATTGATTATGAATTGAATGCTCACATTCTAATATGGTATCAGTATAAACAATTCACATGAAAGGCCAAACGGATTCACGCTACACACAGCACCTAAAAGATCTTGAACCTCTTTATTCACCGTGAATTATATTTTAAATTGAATATACTCACATTCTAATATGTAATACTAACTAGATGAAGATCATTATTGTGATATGTGAGAGAATATATGGACATCAATTCATCAGTACGACAATGTTTTATTTAGTCTTCTAGTAATTAGGATAATGTAATATCATTTATCATCTCTGGTACTAGTTCATATTAAAAATGGACGTAGGTGAACTTTTTTATACCTTTCAATATTATTCTTAATTTGTACTTGATGAGTGCCTTTATTGGGTTTCTTTTTTATCTTTTGAGTGAGACTCAATTGGCCGGGGTGTGTACTTCTGTTTGGCTTAGGGCGCAGTTAAATTATGTCAGCAGCCCACTAAAGTTGAAAAGAAACAAAACCAAAGACTACTTACTTGGGTACGTGTTTGTCAATAACTTTGGGATTTTATCTATGGTTATCTTGTTTTCAATAGTGGAGTTTAGAATCTCATCTTTGAAGTTAGGTAATTGTAGATTTTTTCTTTTTAAGTGATATTTTAACTACTTTGATATACGGAGAAGTGTAAATTAAATTCATGTTTAAAATGATCGACAAACTATCTTAATCAACTGACCTAAAACATTTAAATGAAGAATTTATATTCGAAAACAACCAAAAATTGACCGTCTAAATTAACTAGAGGGCCCAAATTTCATTTTGTAGATGGTTCATGGTTATGAAACGCCAACAAAAGTAACATAAAGTTGATGCTTTGATTGGTCTAGAAGAGCTCCCTAAGACACACTCATAGTTGTACGTGGAGATACAATTACAGGATGAGCATAAAGAAACAGCCGAACATTGAGAAAGTTACTTTACAGGCACTATGATTGTGCCCTTCATTTTCAAAGTTTTGTGATGTGGCAGAAAAAGAAAAGCTACAAATTGTGCCCTTCGAATTTGTAGTGAATCTTGAAGTTTTCTTGATTTCCACCTAGCCTAGGCTCCACAAATTTTCCTTGAGCTACTCCATTTTTATGGTCATGTTTCTACTCTACCTCAACTAATAATCATGTGTCATGTGTTTCAACTAAATCGTCATCTCTGATACTACTTGCGATTTCATCTTTCGTCTCCCCCAGTTTGCACCGAAATACATAGTTCTAACTTTAATTACTTAATTCGAGTTCAAATATGAAAGTCTTCCGTGCAACTTGAAAAAATAGCTCACTAATTATTATACCCCCAATGCTGGACAATCACTTCACACTATTCCTAACAAGTTAGTTACATGCCACTTTAGTCAATTTTAATAGAGTATACATGGCATATAATATACAACACATCCACCAACATGTTTTCATTTGTATATTATTGCATATAAAAGTATCCAATTGTTTATACAACCAAAGAAATCCTCAATTATAGTACCTCTGGCAATAGGGTCATAGACAAATAGAAATGATATAACAAGAATTTCTCCATGTCTCCATGATATATATAAATAAGAAAACTAGGTTTTTCTTTTTGTGGGAAAAATATCCAAAACCGAACTAGCCAATACCAAATCTAGTAACCCATTGATCAATAGGCCAAGCATTTGAGAGCAAGAGTGGAAAGAGCCAGCACATAGCAGATATAGAGGGACAGGGTGTAAGTAAGGGGAAGGGTTGGTTGGGTGTGGGAAGCAAATAAACAGGTAAGCATAGCAAAATAGGTCAATGGAGAGAGAGAGAGAGAGAAAGAGAGAGAGAGAGGCGCAGAGAGCATGGTTTGACCGCATAATCCAGAGTGTTGGGGGCGTGGGAGTAAGAGCAAAAGACGCGTGGGTGGCGCTGACACTCATCAGAAAGCGCCACTGCACGAGCGCCGGAGAGTTTGCTGCTCTCTGCACTGCACCCGCACCAATTAAACCCTTCTCTCTCTCTCTCTCTCTCTCTCTCTCTCTCTCTCTCATCCCAATCGAATTGGCAATTACTCCTTTTCTTTCCTACTTTCTTTCTTTTCTTTCTTGCTAAGACTACTCACAATTCACCAACAAAGAAACAAAAGAAACAAAGAGGCTGCTCACAATTCTGTTCTCTCGCATGCACCCTTGGACGCAAACCCATGTACCAAAAGATGCTCTTTGTCGGTCTCTCCCTCTCTCTGTGGGCCCCACACTTTAGATCCTCTTGTTCTTCATTTCCTCAACCCCTCCAAAAGTCCAAAACCACATAACGCCCCAGTTGCTCCAAACCATGTCAATTGTCATCTATCACAACAGTTTATCAACCTATAATAAAATAGGGAAACAGGGTAACACAGTAACGTTCTCTTATTAGACAATTTGAAAACATAAATTTGTTAACTTTAAATATAAATATGTTGTCAGACTGTAAATCTGAACATACGCTCAAACAAAAATTAACTTAATAAATTATCGTTTATTAGATATACGGCATAATCTACTTAATTCATAATTATAATCTAGTGCATGGTTCAATGAGAGGACATCTACATATGATTATCATTCATTTGTGACTTTGGGTTTTTAAAAGATTAAGGTGGGTTTTAACTTTTATGGGACCACCCGAAGGAGAGTACGACAGTTTAGATTGGCAGAAAATTGCTAATTATGTGGATTAGGTACTATGAATTGTTAATATGTGATAATTAATGTCACATAATTGCCTGTGAATATTCCTTTTGCAAATTTAGGGTAATGGGTTTTTACTTGGCCAGGGCCGGTTGCCGTGCCTATCCTTTTCTAGCTGGTTTAAGATTCGCTTTGCTAAAACACTTACCACATTTTAGGCGTCAATGCTTCAATGGCCATCAACATCAATCGACTAACAACTCCTATTAGCAGCTAGCTGCTAGCTGCTGCCACATATCACATGATACCTACCCCACACACAAAAGAGTTCCATGCATAATCCAAACATAGCCGGATCTTATTCTCCTATTTCTTTTCAAAGTTGACCATTTAAAATTCATTGTTAACGATTAATCCATATCAACGGTCATATATATATATATATGGAGCACATATGACAAGAGAAATGGCTTTGCCAACGGTATGAACATTGTCCTTTGACTTTGAAATTAAGGGCTTAGTTAGGAACTTAATAATCAAACTTCAATAACACGAGAATCGTAATGATAGAAAGTCTTACACTCCAACACGAGTGATTATCAATTATTGAACATGTGATTTTTATAATTTTTAATGAATTATAGTCGTTTACGCGTGCACGGATTACAGTCAAAATTAGAAACCTCTTAATACTAGTAATATTGTTACTCCATGCAAGGTGTTACAAGGGATAAATTTATCATAAAGAGTGTTCACATTTTTTTTAAAGCCAAATTAAGGTGACGACTTTTGTCACGTGTCATGCAAACAGCTATAAATGGAAGTTACTGCTTAATCATACTATATATATGGACTACGAAGTCTCGCAAAATCTTGTGTCATTAGGAAATTGAATGCTTGTCTACTCTAACTAGTTACTTAATGTATTTAATATTTCTATTAATTTCTCTAGATACATTTCGAGTCACGGAGAGAACAATATTGCAGCATATAGAAAGGGAAAAAACAGTTCCCGATGATCAAACAAAAGGTTGGTTTGGAAGCATTTTTAACAAAAGAAATCGCCTTACAGATACGAAAATAATGAGAAAAATTGGATTCAATTGTCAATTGTTCCTATCGAAAATAAGATTGATTATAAATTCAAATCATAGCCAAGGTCTAAAATATCGATGATATCGGAAATATTGGTAGTCCAAAAATACGGAAATTTCGATGGAAATATCGGGATATTATCGATATCGATAAAAATTGAATAAAAACCATGGAAATTGTAAGAAAAACTTGGAAATTTTTATTTAAACTTTGGAGAATGTTTATTTAGTCAATTATCTATTAGTTTATCACAAAAAATTAAAAGGAAATGCATTGCATGATGGATTTAACTGATTTAAGTTGATTATACAGCGAGCTAGCAAACACTATAAGTGTAGAAAATATATAGTAATTAATGAAAAAAGATTAAACACACCATAATCATTTATATATAATGATTTATTACAATATTTTACACTTTATACATTGCATGGTAAGATACATGAGTGACTTAGTACCACATAGAGTTCCTATGAGGTTCAAAATTTTCACTATCTTCATCATCTCTATGTGTAGAGTAAGTGTATTGTGA